TGTGTTTTGCTTAAGAAACATAAAAAGTTAATGAGTCTGCCATTTCAAGGTAGGTTAAGTCAAAAGAGGTCAGTGGCTTACTTGCTTTCTCTACCATGAAGAGGAGGATGTAGGAGACTTCTAATGCCTACAGTAGTCCAAGGAAAATAATAAGACTTTTTTGTACTTTGTTTGCTTCCATTTTAGTTTGGCCCCTTCTGTGGTATTATGAGGTAGAACTCATGTATTCAGGACAGGAGTGGTAATAGCAGGGAAAAGAGATTTAGATTCACTATCTCTAAACTGGGTTTCTGAGCATCACAGCCATCAGTCTAGAACAGGGATAGGCAATAATTTTTGATGGTGGGGGGTTACTCTAAGATTTTGGAAAGTGGGCAAGGGCTGAACTTCTCTATATTGGAGGTATGGGGGTTAGGATGGATGTTGGGTGCAGAAGGGAGCTCGGGGTAAAGGAAAGGGTGTGGGGTCTGAGAGGGAGCTTAAGTGAAGTAGGGGGTTGTGACCTGAAGCAGCAGATTGGGATACGGGATCCAGGAAGGAGTAAGGGGTACAGGAGTGAATTTTGAACTGGGGAGGGGTGTAGCAGGGGGTTCAGGATCTGGGAGGGAATTGTGACCTGTGACAGGATGTGTGTGTAGACGTTTTGGGTGGTGACCTTTGGCAGGGAGTTAGGAAGTAGCAGGGACAGAGGTGTTTGAGGCAGGCTCTGGCTGTGAATCACTTCCCTTAGGTGGCTCCCGGCCAGCAGTCCAACAGGGTCCCCGAGGCAAGCTCTCTCTTGGAGCAGCCTCAGCCACATGGGTTCCCTCCCTGTGCTGCTCAGGGCCACTCATCCCTGCGGGGCAAGAGACATTGCACACGCTCCCCTGCCCCCAGGACAATCATTGCAGCTGGGAGCAGGGCCCGGGGGCAAAAGAGCCATGAATTCTCTTGTTTCCCTTCCTCCAGAGTCATCTGGTGCCTAGAGGGAACCGCCAGCTGGTTTGAACAACTGGCAGCTCTCTCTATGTGCCACGTACCCCAAGGGAGATGGAAAGAGAGGAGGAGACCTTGCGCACTCTCCCGCCCTCAGGCCAATGACTGCTGCTGGAGGCAGTGGCACGCACAAGCTCTCTTGCCCCCCCACCAGAGTTGCACGATGCTTACAGTGAACCACCAGCCATTTTGAACAGTTGGGACAAAGGTCCCTCTGAAGGTAGGGAGGTGGAGGTGCTGGGGTTTTTGAGTGGACTAGGGCACACAGCATTTGCCTCAGGAGCACAAGGTGGCTGGGTTCAAGTTCTGCCCACCCTGGGAGCATATGGACACCCAACACAGGCTTGTCCAGGGCTGGACCTGGCATGAAGTCTCTCGCGTGCCTCTCCCTCCCCTGGGGCATGCCCCACTGCTTAAAATGGCTGGCAGCTCCCTCTAGGTACCACATAGCCCTGGCAGAGGGGACCCACCAGCCATTGGGGAGGTCTCAGCAGGGTGAGGTGTGGGCCAGATCCCACAGCTTGGTGGGCCGGATCCAGCCTGCAGGCCGTATAGTGCCCACTCTTGGTCTAAATGCCACACTGAGTACAGCTAGAACGGACATCACATTTTTTTAGTTAGTGGCTGATTCACTTCTGAAGTCTCATTAACGAGCCAGTGCTCAATGATAAGGAAGCCTGAGCGAAGATGGGATACAGTAGGCAGCATGCATAGCCACCTTCAGATGAATGCTTCCTATGTTTCTCAGCCACGGCTTCAGGTTACCACGGGAACCACTTCCAGCAGCACCAACTGAGATCACATCACATTTTTTTAGTTAGTGGCTGATTCACTTCTGAAGTCTCATTAACGAGCCAGTGCTCAATGATAAGGAAGCCTGAGCGAAGATGGGATACAGTAGGCAGCATGCATAGCCACCTTCAGATGAATGCTTCCTATGTTTCTCAGCCACGGCTTCAGGTTACCACGGGAACCACTTCCAGCAGCACCAACTGAGATCAGAGGAAGCCAGGGCTGGCTCCTCCCAGCAG